TCTCATCTTCAATCCCAAGGGCGCTGATACAACTTCCCAGGTTGTTGAATTTTCGAACGACTTCTAGCTGATACCCACCAAGGGTCAGCGCAGCAGGCGGTCCAGGCCAGACATTTTGGAAAACTTTGTACTTCGATGGTGCGAAGCAAAGCCCGAAGTGACTGACAGCCAGTGTTAATCTGTCCAATTCAGCTTGGCACGTCTGAGAGCTGTCACAGATGAGGGTTTTATTGTCATCATACTCCAAATCATGAAATTGTTCACCTGGGAGCAGCTCCACACATTCTAAGTCTTGTCTTGTGAACGCGATTTCCATGACTTCGCCAATCGCGAAATTAAAGAGGAAAGGTAACAGCGGGCATTCTTGTCTCACACAGCTGGTGATGCTGGAGGGCGGTGACAGCTGGCCATAATCATCATCATCATACACGTTAGCTAGAGGGGGGAACACCTCAGCTACTGTGCCGCAATACAAAGAAAAAAGGAGAGAAAAAAACAACTGGTGAAAGCTGGCTGAGCTACCGGTAACGGATGGGCATCGTTCCGGTAAGCTACCAGCCGGCTGCTGTGCACCCAAAAAAAATTATTATGCAAAGATTATATAAGGCTAAGTAATGAGATCGTGGTTGGAGGGGGAGGCTAAGAGGGATGGGGTGGGACAAAGAAACTCACAGCACGAACGCCACTGAGGTCGGCTCCTAGCCATATCAGCAAGTGTGTCCAACCAAACGTGTTCATCGTCTTTCGGACCCCAACCAGGGAGCCGAGACGCTCCAACCGAGGCCAGCTCAGAAGTAAGGGTCTTCATTCTTCGCGAAGTCATCGCTTGCCACCTCTCCTCTTCTTCCATCCACACCCCCGGCGCGCAAACAACACACGTCGCGGAAGTCGGTAGGCTGGCATGCGTAACAGGCATGCGTAACAGCTGGCCATAAGCCCTCACTCTGCCCCAGCTACGCACGTATAATGCTCGAATAATGTTTACATATTTCCCACACACACCTTTCCTGAGTAGACAGTCCCAAAGGCACAGTTTCACTAGTAACTCGTGTAAATCATCCACAAGAGCAGGTCCCCTGAATTTGAAGAGGGCTGGAGGAAGATCATCTGGTCCCGCGGCTTTATTTAACTTCGACGGTGCGATCTCACGTTCGACTTCTGAGCGAGAGGGTGGATCCAAAGGGACAGCCCAGGTAGCAGGGCGATCAGTGGCCGGCGAGAAATCTAACAATTCCGACCGATTAAATTGCCTTTCAAAGTGCTCAGCCCAACGCTCCAAGCGTTTTGACAAGTTGTGGATAGGCTGTCCACTCTCTCACGTATAGTTTCACTAACACCAGGTCTCCTGCTGCCCGTTTCCCGTATCAGACGGAATAACTTACGATGGTTACCAAGGGCAGCGGCCATTTCCATCTCTGACGCACGATGGGACCACCAGGATTCACGGTCTCTCTTCAGGCTAGCACGGAGTTTTGCCCGGAGGTTTCTGCGAGTCTCATTGTGTTCGCTTCCAGCCGGAATGTGCCGGCGAGCATCGATAAGTTCCAGCGACTGCGACCAGACCCAATGTCCATCTTGGCGACTAGACTTACCACTTGAGGAGTCGCTTGTTGCTAGTAAAGTCTGATGAACATCGAACCAGCGAGCCTCATTTGTATCCAATGAGTGCTTACTCAACTCGCATGACGGCGTACTTTGATAGTCATTCAGAATAGCTGGCTTCGTCTGTTGGCTGGTGTCAATGCGCTCACGACGTCGTGGGCGTTCGCCAAAACGCATTCTCAGGTCAGCACACAAGTGCATGGTCGGTGTCCACACCTGTGCTCCAAATCGAGTGACAGTTCTGGACGCAACCGCTCCATCGGTAACTTATCGCAATGTGATCGATTTGCGTCCATAGCTGCTTCGAGGCTGTTGGGCGCCAAGTCACGCTCCAGCGGGTGCTGTGTCGGAAATTAGTACTCGCAAGAAATAAGCGACCATCTTCACACAAATGAAGTAATCGCTCACTGTTATCATTACGGGAGCCTACACCATGTTTGCAGCCCAGATGCATTCCATCAGTGCATAATTTTCCAAATTGAGCGTTCAGATCCCCAGCCAGCACAGCAGTGTCTGAGCTTCTTCCGTGACGAAGGAGCTCGTTCAATTGGCGATAGAAATCGTCTTTTACCGAATCATCGCTGCTGTTTGTGGGTGCGTGGGCAGCGGTGACGAATAGACAACTGTTAGTCCCGCGCGACTTCGAAGCTTTGACCGAGCCAGCCAATCGGACCGCACACATCCGGCTACTGATTGGAATCCAATCAACCAGAGCAACTTCAGTCGGGACACTCAGGGCAATACCAACACCAGCTTGGCTGGTGCTCGAAGCTGCATCGTCACCGGATAGGCGCAATGAGAAAGTGCTGCTAGTGTCACCTGAATGGGATCGCAAAATGAGCGCTGAGCTCGACCATTGCAGGCAGTTCTCCGATAAGCAGCATATATCGCTCGGGAGAGTTTCTAATGTTTGGGTAAGTGCTGCCTGTTGACCGATCTGTAGCAATGTGCGTACATTGAGGCATGCCAATCTGAAGGATGATCGAGGGCTCCAAATGGAAGCCGATGAACTTGGCTTGACATCTTAAAAAACAATGTGTCAGCCGTACGCCGTAACGGCGCTTCGCTGCTGCGCGACCACCACCAGTCGCGCGCGGGCTGAGTATACCGCGAGGACGCCCACCCCTACGCGGATTCGAACCGATGACCTTATGGTTGCAAAGCAAACGTGCAGACCACTCGGCCATCGGCTTGACCACTTACTTGGATATGGGCTTGTCGACAGGGAAGAAATGATGCTCCGCGTTCGCATGTGACTTGAAACTAGAATCAGGATGGGGAAGGGCCAAGAATTGTGGGTTGAAAACAGGGGGACGATAAGAGGGAAAATAGGTAACAAGGAATAAGAAGAGGCGAAACCTTTAGCAGTAGCATCTAAACCCTTATCCACTCTGTTCGCCGCAGCAGATCGGGCACCGTTGATTATCCTCTGCGGTGCATGATCGTCAGGAAATTGTTTTAAGATCTCTTATTGATCTATGGTTTTTCGACAATAGCATTATGTACTAATGTATTGGGGTTACTGAGGTTAATTAGTAGATTTTGTTAATTGTGCAACGATATTGGGCCTGGATATTCTTTTACTTCTTTCATATTTGGTTTTTTCTTCGTCGTTGAATCTCTATTTTTGTTGCACCTTACAGTAGTTAGCGATCCCAATTTTTTAACACAAGTCGACCATGTATACACTGGATTATGCTCCCAATTAACATATGTAAATGATATTCTCAAATGTATACAAGTCTGATGATATTTTTTCCCTTTTCGCGTAACCTATGAATGCCATGTTGTCCACTTCATATGCACTTTGTGCCAATCCTTGCTCTGTGTGCTTTCCGTATCTATCTGAACTACCGTGCTTTCTCCTTCCTTTTTCGCGTTATTCCACAACCACAAATTCGAGATCACTTGTTGAACCGTTTATTTTTTACATGCAGGATTTTCTCCTTGATAACTTTCAAGATAGGAAAAAGAAGCATCATTTTAATAGGATACTCTGAATTCAGCTATTTCAGCTCTCTTCATCATCTGTCAGCATACTATCCCTGGAATAGTGGTGTTGCGTTTAAAGGGGAACAACGTTTGGTGAACTTTGGTATTGCTCTCCCCCATTCCTGTACTCCACGACGCGTTTCGCCCTTGTTGGGGTGCATCAGGTTGAGGTAATCTGATCATGACAACATCCACCAACTATTATGTGCCTAGTTCCCCTTCTAGCTCAGGTCATCTCTACCTTATGAGTCCAAACAAGAACGAAACGCCTCGTGGAGTACAGGAGTGGACGAGAGTAACATCAAATTTCTCCACTTCGGTGATGGTCCCTGTACTTGACAGAGGCAGACTTCAAAGTCAGTCGAGACCACAACTGTGATTGTGTGTCGCAATCCAAGACACATGACGACTTTTTAAAAACCCGAAAACTAACGCTCAGAGTCATTCGATTTAAATCTAAAACAATCAATGAATTTTACCGAAGCAATGCGAGGCGGTCGTAGACTCATTCTGTTTGCAAAACTTGGGTTTCAGCTACCGAATTGCTAAGACCTCAGCAAACTGAAACAGATGAGCGTTGCTCTGCAAGTTAATTATCTTGAACGATTCTCAGGGATTTTGACATACGCAGTAGTCTTAGCCGTGCTGAGCGATGGAGCTAGTCGGTAGCTTGGGTCCATTCGTGACCATAGTATGTGAAATGTGCTCTGAAATCCTAACCGACAGCGTTCTCTCAGCTCGGCCCACGTACTTGGTACCACAAGTACAATGAAAGAGGTAAACACATAAGATGGTAACTAGAGGGTCTGGCTTGTCAAGATTGGATTTACATAGTAGCTCCCTTACTTATGCAGTAGCACAAGTTCAGCAGCATAATAGCATTCTTTTATCTGTCGGAGATGGTGCCGGAGTCTTCTGTCATTTTGGTCCCCTTTAAACAATAGCATAATGAACACCTTTTTATTACGGATTTCTATCACTCGTTTCTCTCTGCTTTCTGTGTTTGCGTGTCGTGTTATAAACCTTGTGGAATTCATTTTCACATAGTGTTGATGATACGTGTTCCAGCTCGCTGCCATTGGTATCTTTAGAGCGAATTTTGCGAGCTCTCACAAAGGCGGCGCGAACCAATTCTCGTTTGTAGTCTATAGGTACCATCTTTTGCATGTAGGCATGCGTTACACGGATCGAGTGAGCCTGCCATCTACATTCTTCTCTAGCTTTACATCGAAAAGGAAGATGTTATCCATTCCACTTCCCATTGTGAATTTGGTTGCAGGATGGTACGCGTTTAGACAATCGAGTAGGTGCGTTGCCTGACGAGCCTTATGAATCATAATAAGTGTGTCGTCAAGATATCTGTGATACGGATGCACATTTTGTATTTTGAATTTTATCCATTCCAGGGATCAAGACAATCGATCATACAGAGCGAGTTGAGTGCCAGGCAATTCGTATGAGCAGGGAAGTTTGCGGTTGCTCTTGTTCCGATGGTATCTGCTCGCCACTTTCTTGCTCTTGTGCCCTCGATGGCATTCGTTGCCAGGTTGATCGAGCATTATTCCCATGCTCGTGCGTTGAGCATTTAAATTGTCAGAACCCACATGGTCGCATCGAATTTGACTCCGCTCGTGTGCGCACACACTACATGCATACCCGCATGCGTCTGGAATTGGAGAGTCGTCACCGGGAGTCACCTGAATCAATGTCAACCAGCCACACCACTACAACCGCTTCTGATATCGACGGATCAGAAACACCGCTTAAGAAGAAGGCCAAATATGAATATACGCTTTCGGTATGTTTCCATTTTCCCGTAAATGTCTTGCACGATCTTTTGTGGTGCCCTGTTCTTTTTCCCAATACACTTGCTTATTTCATAGTTCGCGGTTGGACTGTATTCTTCACACATTCTATGCAGTCTTGTCCATGGGTTCAACCTATCTGAAAGTCCATTTGCTCTTGGTTTGGTCATTCATCGTTGTGTTTATGTATGTTCCAGCACTTGCTCATTGCGACAGTCAATGACACCGCATGCTAATCGAACCCATCCTCCGCTTAAGCTAATTCCACTCAGTTGGCGAGGAGTTCAGAAGCTTGTAGGGCGTTTCTGAAAGTGAAGCTGAATACCCTGGCCGTGCGGTCAGTGTTTAGAGTGATTTTTTAAAGGCGTTCCCAACGTAGGCTGGCTCTCCATAATATGTGCAAAACCTGCGCTGCATATTCGTAACGGTAGCCAACAGAAGACTGGATCACAGTGAATCTGGCTTCGATGCGCGGCTCGAAGTGTAAGGTGGTTCGTCACCGCTTTAAGTACCCGTGTCGCTTACCCCGTGTTACACCCAGATGAATCAGATCAATGACGCCACCATGAAAGTATATCGTAAGCAACGGTGCATACAGGAAACGTATAGAAACAAATAGCAAGCAAGTAACGTGAGTGTTGAGTCCCGTGTTTGATCAGACATGGAGGGACTTGGCCAATGAGCGCAATGTGAGGAAAGACGAAACACACACGCGTACATTCGCAGTCAGTAGAGGCGACACGGAACACTGGCTGAGGGCGCATCACTTCTTCCCCCTGTAGTTGCAACTATGCAGCTTGGAAACGCTCAACTGGTCGGCGGTCGCGGGTAGATCTGCGCAGCAGCGCTTCGGCTTCAGGTGGTGAGTCATTCGCTCGCATGTCGTCCAGAGCTGCGAGTGCAGAATTTAGTTCACACGTTGAATCGGATGTTGACGGCCTTCGCCGAATGTGATTCATGTGACGCCGCGCGATTTCGCTGTCCTCGGTCTGTGCCCGTTAGCCGTTTTGACAACGGCTGTTTGCCATCCGTCGTCTGTAGGCATCTGATTCTGTTATAAACCTGTTTCTGCTGCGAGTATAAAAGCGTTCCTTCATTCGTTCTTGTTTTTCGCGAACTTCAGCTGCCAGAGTTCCGTGCGAAAAGTCCAATCGAGTGCGCAAACGGCGGCCGAACATAAGCCCCGCAGGACTTCTTCCGGTGGTATCGTTCATCATATTTCGGTAAGCAAAAAGAGCACAATCTAGACGCACACGCAATGGCGCACCTGTTTGTTTGAGCAGCATATTTTTCACTGTTTGTACAGCCCTTTCAGCCAAACCGTTCGAAGACGGATGATAAGGGGCGGTAGTCACATGTCTAATTCCATTTGAGGTGAGGAAGGTGGAAAACTCGGCGTTGGTGAACACAGTAATTTAATTTTTGGTGCCTCGTCAATCTCATTGTTATTGCCAAAAAGCACAAGTAAATCCACGTAATTAGTGGAAATAGTCTTCCATTGCATCCATTACTGCATCGTAGACCATTCCGCGGAAGAACTGCAAAACGGCTGAGGTGAAGTAATTGAATTTACTATGTGATCCAACTAACCTCCGTTGTCAGTTTGTTACACTCAGATGAATCGGAACGCTGACGGGACAATGAAAGTATATCGTAAGCAACGGTGCATACAGGAAACGTGTAGAAGCAAACAACAGGCAAGTAACGTGAGTGCTGAGTCCCGTGTTCGGTCAGACAGGGAGGGACTTGACCAATGAGCGCAGTGAGATGAAAGATGAAACACACACGCGTACATTCGCAGTCAGTAAAGGCGACACGGAACATTGGCTGAGGACGCATCACCCCGGAAGCAGCCAATTATCAAAGTACGGCAGCGCCAATTTACCATATTGGGATTTCCAAAGACGTAAGCGATCAGGCTGCGTATTCGCATCTTCATCGCGGAGACACTTCCGAGCTCGATTCCTTATGGAGCCAAATATTTTGATTGCAGTTTAGTCGGGCATTGTAACATCACAGCTAGTTTGTGGACAACTGGGCCACCAGCCCACTGTGGTGACAAGACGTTCGCACCCATATCGCTCAACAGTCAGCCGGTTCGTGAAGGGATTACCTTGTAATCCGGAGGTCAACGGTTCAAATCCACATAGGTGGGGGGCGACCTCGCGGTATACCCAGTCCACGCACTACCTGTGGTGGTCGCATGGCAATGAAGCATCAGCGCAGTGTGCAAACGTACTGTTGGTGCCTTTCTGTCATCCACATTCCGAACAATCTTTGGCATTCGCGTGTTCGCTCTGATCACTTTCAAGTCAAGTTTTAAGAATGCGCTTTTATGAACCCATGAGGGGTAAATTTTCAGTGGTACTGAGTTTCTGCCGCTAACACTATTGAAAAGGACGTTTCTATCCGCATCGCCAAAGCTCCGTCAGGGTTTTTCAATTTTACGCACTTGCGACCTCGCCGAGATGTCTGACTTTCGATAAAACGCCGGTGTTTCTATATAGAAGCGAGCCGTGGTCAGTTCCCTTGGATGACATGCACCGGCTCTAGGTTTTCGAAAATGTGTGCTGGAACTAAATTGCTGGTGTGTTGTGGTAGCAGCGTGACTGCAACGGTGAATTTAGATGTACTGTCTTAAAGAATGCGAGTATCCCATTCAGCAATGTAGTTATACCGCACCAACTGAGATGGATTGGTCATGTCCTCCCTATGTCATCTTGCAAGCAGAATTATTTACTGTTCCAAACAGCTTCGCACTCCCTGTCGAAGGTTTCATGGCGTAGGTTTCTTTCTGTGTCTAGTGGTTGTGTGGTGTGCATTGCTTATGCGCCCATTACTCGCGCGCATACAACTGTGGTTCCAAATTGTTCATTTCCTTTGGGGGAGTCATTACGACCTACCGTTAGCTGGTTGCCGCTTCGCATTCTGGTACTTTCATACTACTGATAACTGGCGCAGTAGTGTCTGTCTTTAGTTCACCACACCCCCTCTAAAGAGCTCGCCACAGCTGCCTTCGTTCGGTCTTTCTGACTGTCTGGGATGCTCACTGTGCGAAACTGGTTCTTCCTCTAACTGGTGCCACTTCCTCAACTCACTGGCATGTACTCACCCTGAATCTCCCTGCCGAGCGATTGTAGACACTAGGCCTCACCGGTTGACCACTTAAGACCCTTTCCATTTTGGTAGGAGTTTCCTCTCCATCCTGAAACACAACTTGGAGCGCGTTGATAGTCCCTGTATTTCACCTACGAACCGATCGGAAAATCCACACGTATCTCACCATTGTCGGTCCGGGACTTATCCAGCCTCTGCGCCGGAGTTGCCTTCAGATTACCGTTGGTTGCCTTCTTGTTGTCCTATGTTTCTTTCAGAGATATTCGGAAAATTGGCTACATTCCAAATTCCAGATCCACAGGTACGTGACGTGCTCGACCGTACATCAATTAGAATGGTGATTTCTTTGTGGAGACCTGTTTGGATGCTTGATATATCAGCAACAGCAGTGGCAAAGCTTCCTCCCAGTCTCCACTCCTTGCCGCTAGCCGCTCCTTAATCGTTCTATTGTTAAGCTCCGTCAAACCATTTGTCTGCGGGTGGTTTGCAGTTGTCTGCATTTTCTTCTAAGTTTCTCCAAGCGGTTCCAGAATTCCTCACTCTTCTGTCGAGTAGCCGTCCGGAAATCAAGTAGGTTGAGCCGCGATCGCGAAGTCTTTTATTAAGATTACGCTTGCATATTTACAGAGCATATTATTTGCGACAGTTCCCTCCACTGGCTCATCCCTATTATTTGCATTCTGTCGCTGGCTCCATTTCCACTGGTTTACGCTTGTTCTCAACGTTCATTCCGTCTAGAATTATCTCGACTTTCTTGCTGGATTGCACGATTGCCTCAGTTGCTCAATCGTCCATCAGGCCGCACGCTTCTTCCCTCGATCCGATACCACAACAAATCTTGATTCAAGTCCGCACCTATACGCTCCTCACAGACACGCGCTTCTTCGCCTGTGCTTTTGGAACCTGCTGGCGCCTGATTGGTCACCTGCACACTCAATGGATGTTCGCTGGCTGTACTTGCAGTGCTGGACGCGGGCGCGCGCCTAATATTTGTTGCTCGCCTGACTAATCTGCTTCCGATGACATGCTTACCATCCATCAGGTTTGATTGCACCTGTCTGGTACTCTGTGAAATGCCGGGTGTCGTTCGATTGGTCATCTGTCTACCGGTACCGTAGCATTTTCACCCTCCAGCCGTTTCAGCCCCCATCACAGGACTCTGGTCTGTTAATATGGTCTTCAGAATTCCGTGATCCTCTATCAAATGTTTCATGACAACATAGGTAGTGGTGGTCGCCAGCTGATCTGGAATTCTCGTTGCTTCATCCTAGCGCATGAAGTGCTCCATCATCAACAGTATGTATTGGTTGCCCCGCCTGATCAATGGAAATGGTCCCGTCACCTCGATCGACCATGGTTCACCAATTTTCGATCCCGGAATTGACATCATTGGTTGTTGTGCGCCTCGCTAGTCGGTTTTCAAGAGCTGACGTTGCTTGCATGAAAGCAGGTATATCTCGACATCCCTCTTCATGCCCAGCCAATAGGCGTGTTGTCTCAGCAGATCGTAGGTCCTGGATCAACCGGTGTGCGCTATCTCATGACGAAAAATCACGAGCCTCCGCTTTATCTTCGTCGGAACAACCGGCACCGAAGTGTTGCTACCTCCTGGTATCCACATTAGGATCCCCGCTCCATTTACTTGTATCTTTACAACATTTCTCGCAAACGGTCCCAGCTGCTTGTGTTGGCTCTTATTTAAGGCTGATTAATCGGTTATTCGTGCGGTGACCACTTTGCGCAGGAGTTTGTCACTACGTTGTTCGGCTGCCAACTGTCCCGGATCCTGCTCCAACAATATACCATTAATACCGAAAGCCACACACAGCAGGTCATTTTCGTTCATCATTCTTGACAACAAATCCGCAGTTTGGTT